AGAAGGATGTTCTCGTGTTCTCGTAAAATGAAGGTGTTCTCGTTTGAACCTTCATATATATATATATATATATATAKAGAGAGAGAGAGAGAGAGAGAGAAAGAGAGAGAGAGAGAGAGCGAGAGAGAGCGAGAGAGAGAGATGAAGAACCGTGTGAGAATATGAGTTAATGTGAGAAGCGTAAGAAATGATCTAAACTCTTGATCACTTTTAATCTCACCCCACCCCATGAATTGCACTTATCACGAAAATTGATCTATTGCATCTCGGTGCACTGTATTAGTACTGATCCAAGGGTGAAGATCCATTTTTACCCTTCTCGCTGAAACCCAACCCCCCCCCCCATACACACATACATAATGTTGGTCCCGTAAGGGTCTACAATAATAGAAACAGTTTGTAGAAGGGGGGGATGAATACAAACACAGTATTTTCAAATTTAAAATATATATTGATAGAGAAGATCAATACAGATTTTACAAGACTGTTTGCGGAAAGATAAGGTAATTAAAACCTATCTAAACAATCTTTGGTTACATACAGATCTTTAGCAAATACAAGAAAAGAGATTGCTAAAAGGAAGATCATTTACTTAAGCTAGAAGTTGCTTGAAGTAAGAATAGGGTTAGAGAGAGATGTGCGCTCTTTGCATGGAGAAGAAACACTTCTATTTATACACAGTGCATTAAATGTTCATTTAATGCAATATGGTAGGTTTAGAGTGTGTGTCAAGCCTTAAGAGGAAGGCTTGTCCTTTGCTACAGTGAATAGTACAAAAGCACTATTTCTGAGCAAACATCCTTGCCTAAAGTTGGTGGACAAAGAGTCGACTAATCGGTTCCGTACCATACTAACTTTTGCAAGGGTATGGGTTTGTCCTTTGTGTGCATAAGGACAAGACAACAACAATCGTGCTAAGCAAGCTTCCTTTGATCGTTGAATGCTGGAATGACCTAGAGGTCTCATCATCATTCGTTGAAGCTAGAGCAGTCTTCACACATATGTAGACATACTTGTAATCACTTAATACCGCTTCAGATCACGTACTCGCTAGTCTCTAATCTTCAGTTTCAGTCTTCGACGTTTGCTGAAGGTTCTTTGGTGTGAGTGTTGTCTTTTTGAAGTATTGTTGTCTCTGATGAATTTACAATGCAAGTTCTTCAGCGATCACTGAACATACTCAGTGATGATCGCTGGAACTGAAAATACAGAAACACAAATACAACGTGAAAGGGAAAATGGATTATCATCAAATCACTGAGAGAGAGGATCAACATATATATATATATAGAGAGAGAGAGAGAGAGATAGAGAGAGAGAGAGAAAAGGATCGTGCGAGAAGTTAACTATTTTATAAGAAGACGAAAAGTTTCAATATCATATATAATTGCACCCCTTTAGGTGTATTTAATCATATATGATTAAGCGTCTATGTATTGTCAATGCAACATATGATTAAGCTTGTATATTGATAAATATATAACAAAATACACCTTAACACTTATTTAAGAATTTATTTTAGTATTTTCTTACTCCAAGATCCAGATATTGAGTCTTTTTTATTTTGATTTTACATATTACCGAGTCTAGAGCTAAGATTTAAAAGAGTTGGATTTATTTTATTTCCTTCTCTACAATATTAATAATATGCTCAAAGTTACCATAACAAATTACTGTTGCTTTATATAGCAAATTGGATATCCAAGTTAATAAGAAAAATATTACTATTGCTTTGCTACAGGACAAATGAATAGGAGGGTTGACTTTTTGTAACATATTTTGTTTGTTAGTTGGGTAATACCCAAATGTATATTTGTGTTTGTTAGTTAAAATTTATTTTGTATTCCCTTCTTTTGGAAGTCTCCTCCGTTATATGACGAATTAACGAGAGCTTCATTTACGTCTATAACAACTTATATGACTTAGTTCAGCTAAGTGTTTGTTATTCTCTAGTTCTTGTTTATGTTTGTATGAGAACGAGTTATTAAGCTTTCGGTTTAAGAGTTCTTCTCTTGAAGTTGCTACAGCAGGTTCTTCAGTGTTCATAAGCACCCTTTTTTTCTCAAATCTTTACAACTCTGCCATTTACATTCAAGCTCTTTAGGATTCAGTCATTTACTTAAATATCCTTTATATTTCTGTCATTCACATTCAAGTCATGTACATTCTTGTCATTTACTTTTAAGTTATTTTCATTTTTGTCAATTACTCTTAAACACTTTACATTTATGTCATTTACATTCATGTCGTACTTTTCTTGTAAAGCAATGATGGACTAATCACCCTAGCTTGGGTGTAAGTGAAGGTTGAGAAATTAAGACAACTGTGCATGTCGATAATTGCTTTCTCGATATTACCAACTCCACTATTCATTTCACTTCTTGATATTTCATTTAAATTATTTTTGAGAAATTGACACATGTCGTTTCATTTAAATGAGTTGAGCTTATATAAAAGACAACACAAATAAAAAGAAGTAAAGGGTTGTAGAAAGATATATCTTGCTATCGGACTGATACGGTTACACCTATATAGAGAGAGGATGAGAAATGTAGTATCAAGCTCATATTTGTACTCATTATTTATACGATAAGACCATTGCTAGCAAATGTCTGATTGCACTTCGAAATAAGGTCGTACAATCCAGTAGTGTGATATTGAGAACTATGGCTGTAACAACTTCAGAGTTGTTGTAGCAAGGTTCTTCTAGACTCACGCTAAAATCTCAACCTGATCTTACACCAATGCTTTCTTTTTTAGTGTTATATCTTTGTAGTTGTTAAGGGATCTCACCAAAACCACTTGCTTTAAATTCACCCTAGGAAATCCTCTTTTAAGGCTCACTTCTTGATTTTATTGTCTATGTGGAACGATATTAAGTAAATACTTATCATTATTACTTGTTTGGACGACATTAGTGAACCATGTATATTTGCATGTTTTGCCAGTTGTTGTAGCCTATTTTGGATTATACTCACCACCCATCATAAAGCATTCATGTAATTATGTATGATATTGAAACTTTTCGTCTTCTCGTAAAATATTAATTAGTTTCTTGTTTGATTATGTCCCTATATATATAGGGGGTCATTTAAGGGAGAACTCAGTAATTTGTAATAACCATGAAATTCAATTTTAACCACAAATTAAAAAATCGATTAGAAAAATAATAATTTTAGTAACTTTGACCTAAAATTTAAATTAAAGGGTATTTTAGAAATTTTATCTCTCATCTCCTCGACGAATTACCTTAATCCGGAACGCACCATATGAACAGATATGCATTGTGATATCTAAAAAACCTCGACGTTATTATAAAAGATGCATACAAATAATATTCACTATGGTACCCAAGATACATTGAAGATGAATATTGTGATACCCACTGTAGATTAACGAAAATACCCACTGTGACACAATTCATAAAACAAAGAAAATACAAATTGTGATACACTTCATAATGCAACACTACTTGACACACTTCTAAAAATACACACTGTGATACACTTCATCAGAGTTGCAGTATGGGTTTCTTCGAGATCTGGGTTATGATACATCATTGAGGTCTCCAACAAAAAAGTGGGTTATGGTGCATCATCAAGATCTCCGTCGAGATCTGGGTTGTACAACGCCGTCGAGATTCAGGCTATATCTCTAGCATTCTTGTAAAAGTTTAAGACTACAAAAGAAAAAATTATGTTGTGTTATAAATCTTGCAGGATGATGGGGAGGAAGAAGATTAAAAAGAAGTTACATGGAGATGATGATGGTGAAGATGATCAAAAAATATCGAATTAGTGTGAGTTATTAGAACATTTTCAACAGCTTCTGTAAAATATAGAAAATGAAAAAAAAAATGGAGATTACGAATCTATATTTTGCTCCAATAGTTTTTCCAAAACTATCTTCAAAATAGAGAAAGTAGGAGATGAAAGGGTTTTTTCTTCAAATACGGAGATCACCCCAAAAATGATTATCAAGTGAGAAAATTTTGAAAGTAAATATTAAAAAAGAAAAATAATATTTTAATAAATGAATGAAATATTTTAATATTATAATCAATATTAGATTCTTCAAAATAGAAAATCTACTGAAGATGAATGTTATATTTTTAAGACTAGAAGGGTACTCGTACAATGCATCGAGACACATTTCCATTTCAATGTTTCGTTTTATTTTTTTATCCATGTTGATATAATACTATTTTCTGTGGTTTTGAAAAAGTGATAATGTTTCAATTTTTTGAATAAAATATAAATTTGAAAATATCAATATTAGTATCAAATTAACTATTTAAAAGTTATTGTTTGTTTATTTTTTTAATTCAGTTTTTTTATTATAATTTAATTTAACGTAACAAAGTAACTTAATTTAGGTTTAATAATGTATTTTTTATAAAGATAATAATTAAGTATTCTGTTAGAACTCAATAATTATCCTAATTATATTTTAGATTTTTTATATTTTCAAATGAGATGTTTATTCTTTATTTGATTATGTTTATTCGCAGTTAGTTACACGAGTTCAAATATACAGCTTTAATAAGTTGTACTTATTCACAATTTACATTCATTTATAATCTTAAATTTTAAGTAATATGTATTAATAAACAGTAATTTATAAACAAAAAATGGATTTTAAGAATTGTTGTCAAATACTTCGTAATATATCGTAGATTTGAACTTTTAAGATCTCTTCTTACAAACTACCTAGTTGTTATTTTACTAGAACCCTAGGCATAAGTCATGAATCATAGTTGATGATTTCTTCATGATTATGGATACAAACTCAAATCTTTGAACCCTAAATATTGTAGGTAGGGTTCATAGATAGTAATCGGCTGACAACATAATCATGATTAATTAATTAATTAATTAATTATTCATAGATGTAGCAACCCTACTTCATATTATTTGGTAAAAATTAACAATCAAAGCCGTAATTGTGTTTCCAATTCCACCCTACAATCTTACACCATTTAATATCCTTCTTAGCCTCATGATCATGGTGCCTGCTTGCCGCCATTCACGACTGCTACCCTCTTCGTGTCTTCGTCGGATTTCCCTTTTTTGTCACAGGGATGACGCATCGCCGCCGTAGACGGGTACTGAATGTATAACGGCAGCGGTGGTTGATGACGGTGATCAAACTTTAATGAACAACATGACCGTGCCTCCTCTAGCTCTTTCTTCAGTCTACGGTTTTCGTCACCTAGGGTTTCACAGCATTTCTTTAACAACTCACATTCTTGTTCGATTTGCTTTAGCTTTGTCCTGTTCCCATAAATATGACCCATCGTCAAACATATACTAAATGCGTTTTCTAACTCTAAAAAAATTAATATGCGACGAGATTGATGTCCAAAACGTCTTTTATAAGTGGATTCATACTCCGGTGATGATCACAAGTACTGGTTATTAGCTAACCATAACGATGGTGCATGATTGGTTTGAACTTGAACTCCAAAGGTTGTCTAGAGGACTCAGGATCAAATTCAAAGAGGAATAAAAATCCTCTTGTGGCTATGGAGGTTCAAATGCGGTTACTCCAGGCAACCCGCAAAGCAGGTGGTCGTTCTGGGATTAGTCGGCTCGCATTAGATATCCAGGTTAATAAAAGAAAAATACGGGTGTTAGCTTGGGTGGATATATCTTCTCCAATAACATGAAAGCGAAATGATATGATCGATCAAGATTAGGGTTTCATAATCTTTGGTATTCTTTTTCCATCATCAACGAGTTGAATATAATGATTTAGAAACTTGCAAAATTAACACTCGTCCCAAACTTAAACTGTTACGTTAAGAGAAAGTTTTTTATTCAGGATTTTATTTTTATAAGATGCATGGAGTTTTTCTTTCAATGGACGACGTATTTATGTTTATGTATAAAAAGAAAAGTAAAAATACGAACCTTGCTCTTCTATTCTGAAACCAAACTTCGATTTGTCGAGGAAGAAGATTCAACTTCTTCGCAAGTTCTTGTTTCTGGCCCTACAATCACAATAATTTCGCCCACTCGTTTAGATTTAATATTATCATGCATTTTTTACTCAAACAAATATGTCATGTTCGTTATTTATGTTTTTATAGTTTGTTTTCGATAACCATTTTACCTTCTAAATTTTGGTGGTATATATACCGAATTTGATTGCATTTTTCTGGATTTTACGTTTATAAT